TTAATAATAACACATGCGATGGTGGAAAAAGAAAATAGCAATCGATTGATCTTTTTTTTTGAAGCTGAATCAAAAATAAAAAAGAGGAAGCTGTTATCATCTACCGTAGCACGAGCCGCTAGAGATGGTGTATCATACATTTCTACTAATTCTGACGACGGAGACCAAGCGACGCATCTCATCAAAATTGAAATGTACGATATGAAGAAGCTATCCAAGATTCCAACTACTGATCATTGGAAACATGCTTCCACGAGAATTAAATATTACGTAAAGACTAATAAGGATAGCATCTACGACAACACAAACGCCCTCGTATACAATATTACAAAGACAATAGCAGAAAGTGAAAAAGTTAAAAAATACTTTTTTAACAATGACAGTCATTAGCTGATCATTAGTGAATGTGATTCTGTTTACTTAAATTACAGGAAGACAAGAGCAGAAGGAAGAGATGAGTGTGGCATACGTGTACAGAACACATCATTGAATAACAAAACTACAACACTGAGTGGAGAAGAAAACGAGAAGAATATGCAGTACTCAAGAGCTGAATATTCATTCTTCAGTTCAAAATCTAGCCGGTTGCTCAGTTTCGAAAACTGGCCTCTCGTTATGCGATAGAAACCTGAAGATCTTGCAGAAGCCGGTTTCTTTTATACTGGCCATGCAGACAGGACCAAGTGTTTCCATTGTGGTGGTGGTTTAAAAGTGTGCTTATGTAAAATTTAAACTTGAACAGAGTTTTGTATTAGATTAAATAGAATATTTATAAAGAAATAAAAAATAATATATTGCATACAATTTGTTTTATTTAATTTTATAACGTTTCACATAGTTACATACATACAAAATGCATTACACGTAAGTCATAAAATCTAACACACAACACATATTATAACCTTAACTACTATAGTCTACAGTAACATTTTTGTTTTTATCTATCTCAATAATATTATCAAACTCAGCATAAACTATACAGTTAATTGTTTGTATTAGTGAGGATTCAAATCGTACTTCTAATCTTACACTACCATGCTTTATGAGATTCCAATGAGCTGATGAGTTGGCTGATAAATCAGGAGTTAAGTCAAATGCTAATAGACAGTAACCTTTGGCATACTGTTCAGAAGAGATTCCATTTCCTTCGTTAAGAAAGTGAATACCAGTTCCCGAGAATAGAGTATGATATGCTGATGTAAATATACTATTATTAAAAGATGGTTGCAAAGATTTTGAAGGTATTTGTTGACCATCAATATATAAGCTGAAAGAATTAATACCATAGTTTTCAAAGTTAAATGGATTTTTAGTAAGGGAACCATTAAATGCAGAATTGTTCACAAATCCAATTATACGTCTTTTCGGTACCTGCCCTAAAAATATATTATCAAGAGTTTTTCCTTGAACACCCGATGGAATTGTTAAAACTTTTACTTCAGCTTGAGTAATAGGATATTTAGCAGTGGTAGAAGTTAAAACTTTTTGATGTGCGAGTAATACACTTGGATTAATTCGTGCTCGTCGAACAATAAGAGTTGCATCCGTAATGCAAACTTTAAACTTTACATCGTTTGACCCAGCAATTAAATTAAAGCTCTCTCTCGATCTAACCAATTTAACACTCATTCCAACACCATTAATTAAAAATTTATCTTGGTTGAAAATGTCACCGTGAAGATGACCAATTATTTCTATTTCCTTACTTTCACTTTGATGTTTTGTGTAGTAAGATGAGATTGTTTAGCAGCAGGAGCATAGTTTAAAAGGGTTTCCATGTATGCTCGATAAGCATAGGTATTATTAGGTGGTGATACAAGTTTCTGGTTTAAATAAACATTGTGGCGGCACTGTCGTCGCGCCACAAGCGAAATACACCGAAGCCTAAATTACGCTATCAAAATTCCGAATCATAAACAGCATATATAGAACATCTCCGAACTATCACACGGAGTGTTGGCCGCTCGCCGGGCAGAACACCTTGCCCGGCGGGAGATCTCCCCTTTTGCTTCCACGGCCACAGTGGTGACCACCCGACGTGATCTGAACACGCAACCAACAACCTTCGGAAAATGCAAGCTTCATCAACGTAATAGAGTACCCCACCCATTCGTTCCCGAACAGATATCGTCTGCAGTCTTCATATCATGCAAGCCATCTAGCTTCACAAGGTTCGTCGCAGCACTGGAATAATAATGCTTCCTGTTCCTTCAAGCTACTCTCTGCGCCATGCAGTGTTCGGCACGGCTCTGAGCCTTACTTCTCGCCTCTGCTTCACGGCACTCTCGCAGATTACTTGCCTTCTTCTCGACTCACCGCAGACTACAAGGCAATCTCCTGGCAGTGCACATTCGTCGACAACTCGACTGCACTATCGACCTCCGGTCTGAGCAGGGGGGTGATGTGGCGGCACTGTCGTCGCGCCACAAGCGAAATACACCGAAGCCTAAATTACTCTATCAAAATTCCGAATCATAAACAGCATATATAGAACATCTCCGAACTATCACACGGAGTGTTGGCCGCTCCCCGGGCAGAACACCTTGCCCGGCGGGAGATCTCCCCTTTTCCTTCCACGGCCACAACATCAAGTTGACTAAAAAGTGAATGCAGCCAATTATTTACAGGTGCTACTATTGTAGTAGATATCAAGTTAGTTGAATCTTGATTTAATACTTTTGCCTTTATGTGGAGTAATGTATGAGACAAATCTATTTAGTCATCGCCTGTCCCAGGAACTTGAAACTCGATAGGTCCATCATCACCAAGAGATGAAATTGGTTTATAATGAATCCACAATCCATTTTCAATGCTAGTTTGTGTAGACGGTAGTGCGAACAAATCCAATTCTGACTTAACGCACTCACAAGAATGATTATGAAGGAAAGATATATTTAATTTGAAAATATATCTTTGATATTTTTTGGTTTTAGACCAAGTTTTTTCGCAGCTTTCACTTTAGCAGTTAATGGTGGAATGAACGAGGTCAATCGTTTTCTTTTAGTTTTATACCCAGATCCTGTCATGTTAAATTGATCAATTTTCTCATCAGCCTTTCGTTTTAAATTCGTACTAACTTGCTTTACACGATCTTTTATTGAGGCTTCCATAGGACGCACTTGAACCATATCCGATAAAAGTCCTACTCCAGCGCCTAATGCCTCCTTACCAATCACTCGAGCACCACTTGAAAGTAAAGGTAAAACTGAATTAAATAACCCCCCTAAGAAGCTGCCAATACCATGACCGCGTTGGTATGGTGAACCCTTATAAATAACTCCAACTTCTGACCCAGCTTAATGTGTATATGGACATCTATGATGATCACGAAGAGAATTCATTATTATAATTTTCGGAAATGTAGTTTAATACACACGGTTCCAAACTGGAATGGTATTTTTTGTCCTGTGCTCGATCTTATAACTATTTCCAGCGTATCGAACTCTCTTCGCATAACAGGTAAGTAGTGAGGTTGAGAGAAAACGTGCATTTTATTTGCACCATAAATGTATTTTGTAGGATCTAATGAAATGACTCTTAGTAAAGGAGTCATAACATCACCCACATTCTGAGGATCGATAATGTCGCAATATAGAAAGAGTTGAGATGGTAACCCTAAGTGTAAATTAGCAGGACACTTTCCAAAATTTTGATTCAACATATTAACATATTCATATTATAACATAGATAATGACGGTATTCAATGAACAATAGATAAGTAGATAAGAACAATGGGGCGCTAATGACGGTGGAGGACCGCACCGGATATCAATTAGATAAGAGTTAATTGATCTGCACATCTCAGGAACCGTGCATCCTACGCAAAAATGGACCGCAGATTCGTGATCAGAGCATGCCAAAACCTTTTTTTTTTAGTATCGTAAGTCGACGAACGTCGTACTTGTACCGCTTCGGACTCAGTGAGCCAGAACTGATACAGCGTAACTACTTACATATGGCGTTATTATCCATAGAACAACTTCCTGATAACAATTGAAAATAACAAAAAAGATGTTGTTGAACAGCCTATGGAGCGTGTCATCTACTAAAAAATCCCTCCTAATGAGACAACCCATGGGGGAGACTGATTTACCACGTGCTCGGCGGTGAAGAAAAACATCATGAGGAAACCTACATGTCTGAGATATAAGAACAAATATTTCGAAGATATGTGAAGTTCGCGAACACGCATTGGGGCAGCGAGGCGGACATTTCCCTAAAACCCTAAAACCCTCTGAGAAATGGGAGGAGGCCTGTGCCCGTGGTGGGACGTATATAAGCTGTTACCTTAACGTTTTTTTTATTTTATGAGGGAGGTGTAACAGTTGAAGGACTATTAATAGGCTGTTATGAATGAAAATGTTAGCCAATAAATTTCAATAGCAGTGCGGTTTGTGTTTGTTATATCGAAGTGATGATGAATATGTTACTCAAGAATACATAAATTACATTCTTTTAAACTGTTATACTGAGTTCTCTAGTATGTACACAGTAATCTATGTAATGAGTAGGTCAAGCGCATCTGAACTTAACCTTGGACAAACTACGGATCGAAGCAAGTTCTTTGGATTCTCGTTGAAAATATTGTATTCTATTTCCTGCTATGAGAAACAAATAATCTTAATATTTAATGAATATTAATCTAAGCATAATGCAATTGAACGCAACAGAAGTCAAGTGAAATTCCGGACATGCTAAATAACAACTCAGCATGCAGTGGAAACGCCTCAAAGCCTACAATCCAACTCACTTAGGTAGTTTGGATCGCACCGTCGACGGATACGCTGTGTTGGCGATCTTTTCATGCAGTTTACCGCGAATCATAATAAATTATTTATTAAATACGTTGTAAATAATGTTATAGTCATTGAGTTGTGTAATATGTATATACATTAATGGTTTTAGTACTTTATTGGTTCACTAAATAATGAAAATCGAATTTATTTACTCTTACTAGAGATAAAGTACAAGAACTTTCGTTTGTTTTGTTTGATATCAAAATGAAATTACTTGCTTTTTGTTTAATTATTATTGCTAATGTGAGTAATAATGGAAAAGCGTCAATTGAAAGGATTGTGCCGGCAACGACGAACGTTCTTCTGTCAGACACAACGAGAAACTCAGGTAAATATACTATACACCGTGGGCGAATCCGTATAACTATTTAATATTGATTTAATGACATTAATAAATGTATTACCGTGTAGTGGCATTGTAAGAATGTTCACTACTATATAATATCATCCCGTGGGTCTCGTAAGATGCGACAGAGGGAAGCAGATCAGGAGATGGGAGCAACGTCTTTCTAATAACGACTAAAAATAAATAGGTACCTAGATGAGCGAGCTTTGCTCGGTATTTATTTTTTTAAATTATGTGTTTTGTAAATTATATTTAGATACAAATTACATACTGATGAAACATAAATAATATTTTTTGATCTCACCGACATAATAGAAAAAACTGAACTCGTTATTTGAATAAAAAATAATGAGTGCAATTAGTTTAATTAAAATTATCGTGTTTTTAAAAAAAATATAAAAAAGGGCTCGAAATAATAGATTTTTTCAAAAGAGAAGGGTACTTGAAAAACAAGGGAAAAAAGTCGGAGCGAAGTCAGGACTCGAACCAAGGTAACTTCGGTTTCGGGACTACCCGAAGTCCCAATACCAACTGTGCTGTTATAATCTTTAACGCGCAATTAAAATTTACCTCCTTATTCTAACGATATTGTAGTAGTTTTTCATTGCCTGATAACACGGATAAAACGACATTTTCTAAAAATAAATCCTAGCTTAATCGACTTATTGCCCCTGAAACCCTCTGCGCACTAAATTTTACGAAAATCGTTGGAGCCGTTTCCGAGATTACGATTATATATATATATATATATTTTTTTTTTTTTTTTTTTTTTTTTTTTTAGGAATTGCTCGTTTAAAGGTATTAGATAGATAAAACTGCGGTTGCCAATCCGCTTCCCAAGCGTGGCAACTATGTGAAATATCCCCTATGAGGCAATCTATGGGGGTGGCCTGTGTCCAGCAGTGGACTTAATAGGTTGTAACTGTACGGTGCGGTTGCAAAGCATTAGATAGAAACCGAATAAAAACATTCTAACCCAAGACATTACATCTTTCGTAACATTTTGCAGACAAATCGTGCTATCGACCTTGCAAGTTCAACGTGAAACCGAGACGATGTGAATATAATTTCAAAATAGAGCCATCATTGGAAGCGGACGGAAAACCGGCCTTGGTTATTAACGCTATGACCCCTGGACCACCAATTCACGTTTGTGTGAACGATATAGTTATTGTAAAGGTGCAGAATAAAGTTCCAGGTCAAGATATAACTTTACATTGGCATGGTGTAGAGCAAAAAGGGACTCCATACATGGACGGTGTGCCAATGGTGACGCAATGTCCCATAGGGTTTGGATCAACTTATGAATATGCTTTTATCGCATCATCACCGGGAACATTCTTCTATCATGCCGATTCAGGTAATTTATATTCTAAATGAAAGTCGTATTCAGATTATATTTCAGATCTAGATCTTAGGTTCAAGATTCCAGTCGTAAAACATCCACACTATACGTGTCTGTGACACTGGATTCTGGCCAACCTTCGATCTAGACATAAAGGCGTTTCATTGAACAGACATTTATAAAGTTGCTATATACCTACCCATTTTCTGCGCATGTCTGCGGTCAGAAGTAAGAAGACGCCGTGGTCCAAAATCGAATAGAAATATTTCATAGGTTTGATTCTTTGTCACTGAATATTAATATTTAAAATGTGTGTTTACCGCTTTACTAAAATATATAGAACTCATGTTTATAAATAGGTACATTATTTTTACGGAGACTCTCACCATTTACATGAGCATGTGTCAAGAAAATTTCCATTACGTTACCGCGATGTATATACAGTTGGGCTTCACAGATCCTTATTTTTTAATTTTTTAGATTGTAGTACACCTAATGATGTTTTCCTTCAAACTAAGTGGCGTAAATTAGCACTTAGAACTATTGTGATTCATAAATCCAATGGTGCCAACATGAATCAGGCAAGAATGCATCCAGCCGTCTGTCTGGCTAACATAGCATATAGAACAAAATTTGCTCTATTTTTTTTAAATATAAATATGTCAGTCACACGCAAACATTTAGTTTAAATATTATAGAAGGCCTACTCAGAGTACCTACACTCAGTCCTAGACTTGAAGGAAGAATCGAGGGGGTTTTATTTTATAATATAGTTTTTGAGAAACGCACGAAATCGAAAAGTTATTCAATGTAGCATATTTTTTTATATAATAAGAATGAATGTTGAACATTCAATGTTATCAACAAGTGGTAAAATTTAAAAATTTTGTACTACCGATTTCAGTATGAAGAAAATAAGAACATCATTAATGTAGTAGAAGTAAATACGCATTATTAAGGTTAATTCAAAAACTACTAGTCAGATATTGATCAAATTTATATGGGACCACATGAGAAGCATCAGCTTTCATCATCAGAATAATCATAATCGGTTCACCTAGAAAAAAGTTCTGTGGTAACACACGTAAAAATAGAGTTGAATTGATAACCTCCTCCATTTTTAAAGTTGGTTAAAAACACAAACATGTATTTTTTACCTTCTACGAACGCAAATTATTTTCCAGTTTCTCAACAAAGCGACGGTGTTTATGGTTCTTTAATTGTGGATCAACCCCAACCGTTGGAACCACATTCGTCGCTGTATGATTTTGATAAAAGCAAGGATCATACAATTCTACTGGGTGCAAGATTTTCGGAACTGTTGACTGGAAATTTAAATGGAAAACACCTGCGACCGGATTCTCTTCTTGTTAATGGCGATGAAAAGAGTTCCAAGTGAGTTAAAATCAATGCCATAGTTTCTGTTTCATCATATTCACGTTCTCTCGTGAACTACTAAATGAACTGGTTTGCCTTGGACTTACCTTGATCCAAAACGAAATCAGTACTTTTTTTTAAATATGTGACTACGTAAGTATTAAAAGTACGTTCGAACTAAAAGTGAGTGGCTATGGTAGTAAAGAAGACATCAAATGCGTTGTCACCTCTCAGCACTAAGATGGAATGCTAGGTGATAGTGGTTCTCTATACCCTTCAGTCTGGAAGACAACAGTGGAAGAATTGCTGTACAGCAGCAGAAAAAGGTAAGTGTGAGTACGTACCCAAATATATAGATTCCTGGCAGACAAGTGGTCCTACTGCTTAGTAAACTAACTTATTTCATCATTATCATCATTCCTGTTCATCACAAGTCTATTTCTAAACAAAGAGTTTTCCTAAAAATAAGTCCATAGCCACCTGCACTCATCGAATTCCTTTGTGTCTTCATCCTCAACTCATCTATGTCGTTACTTGTGAACTACCACAGAAATCTAAATAATTGCCTTATTATTTAGATTTCTGTGTGAACTTCACTCGATGAGAAGTTATCTTCTTAGGAAATAATTATCTAATTTATTTTTATCAACCCGTAAATAATTCTTATACGCGGTAGAGTCACGCTGCAGCTATATTATGGTTGTAGCACGCACGTACGTACGCACAGAATACTAGCGTAAAATAGCAGCTTAATACTGCTGTGTTTCGTATGATGAATGAAGAGATCCGGAGACTCTTTTACTGGAAATGAGGCATTTCATCTTAGTCCTCAGGGGTGACAATGCATCTGTGTTTTTATTCTTAATCGAGGATAAATGTAGATATCTATAGGCCACAGCATCCACTTACCATCAGGTGGACTGTGCGCTCGTTTATCACCCTTATTCTATAAAAAAATACGAGTAAGTAGTCCACTGCTAATGATGTACCATCCCCATAAAAGTGATCTTTAGTATAGAAATCTTCAATCAAGCCGGACACGAGCTATCGTCTTGTATTCGTTAAATATAGCCATTAAATACATGATTTGAATCTCGACCGAACTACTAGTGAATTGAAATTCAAAGAAAAGAATATTTCTTAAAAATTAAGAAATATATCAGCTAGGATTACATGAGCCCAGATGAGCCAGTAAAATGCCATATCACCGAGACTCTATAGTATTAACTTCCACGGTCAAAAACTCGCATTTAATATTCCAACGGCTATTGATTAATCATTAAGTTACTTATGGAAACTTAATAGTTTTATTGATTTTGTTGTTTTAACATTTGTTTATAGGTTGTCAACTATTAAAGTGTAGTAACTGCTTTCACTTTTTCTAAATTTATCTTGAAACTTCTTTCCTTATCACAAAAAATACAATGATTATAGAAGACACTAAATCATCGACTTGAAATTGCACAAAAGTTATTTTAGTACATTGTTTTTTTACAGTTCGACTGCCTAGAACTAGATGGAATATGTGATCTGAATACTTTCTCCTTAATTGAAAAGCCAGTGCTTAATAAAATCCCATTTAGCGATAGGTGGTGACGTCATCATTACAGCCCTTCACAAGTCTACTGCTGAACATAGGCCTCCCCCAAGTAATGCCACAAAGCACTGTCCTGAGCCACCTGCATCCATAGACTTCCTGCATGTCTTACCAGGTCGTCACTCCATAAGTGGTGACGGTATTTAATCGCACTGCCAACTGTAAAAAGTCGTTCACTTTTCTGTTGTAATTCCAGGAATTAAACTAAAAACAATATTTATAAACATAATAATAGACTAAAAAAAACTTAAATAATCATATAGTTGTACTCGCGGTATAGTGCCAAGAATATTGAATGTATTTAATTGTTGAATAGATATACCTACTTAGCTTTTAAGCGAGAAAAGGAACAGATAAGTCGTGGACAACGTGGTAGAGCCATTCTGCAGCTATATTAATCGTATATTTGTAGCACGAAAAGGTCGGCACGACCGGGGAAGGACCACGCTCTCACAGAATACCAGCATAAAAAAGCAGCTTAATGCTGCTGAGTTTCGTATGGTGAGTGTAGATAATCTTAGTCCTCGCGCCTGACAACGTATCTGCATTTTGATTCGCACATATATGTAGATGTCTATGGGCCACAGCAACCACTTAACCTCAGATGGACTGTATGCTCGCGTGTCACCCTTATCCTATAAAAAGAATACGGTTGGTAAAGTTGGTAAAGGAACTTCACCGCACATGAACCCCACAGGCCGACATTCTCAACTAACGGCAAATACCACAAATATGTAGTCACCTGTTAGAGACTCATACTTTCGCCACTTAGTTCATCGGCCTCCGATGCCGCTCTCTCTTGGGGATGTACCCCCAAGATAAGAGGTTTACCAAAGTATCTTGCCACCAAACGCTTTTTGTAAAGTAGTCGTAGGTAATGGATTTTCTTACGTCGCTAGTACTAGCGACATTCATATTCATTGTGACAACACATTGGGTGCGTTTAGCAGAAAAAAGCGCTAGCAAACGCTTGTAAGCAAAATGGCGATCGTAAGCGATAAGCGGTAATCTAAGCTATTTCTAGGAATGATGTTAGTTTTAACCGGGGAACTTAACCTAATTTAAATATATGTTTGTAAAGTATTCATATTAAAAACTTACCAATCATGAATTTTTAATAACATGTATATGTCTATTCATGTCATTATATTACTTAAAACTAATATTGCACAAAACAACTTATAATTTCTACTTCAAAACAAACAAATTAAATAAGCAAAATGGCGGATTGTGTCAGCGCTATTGAAGTAGCAATCGTGTCCTGGCCGAAAACTATTTTAGCTCTTATAAGCGCTTGCTAGCGCTTTTTTCTGCCAAACGCACCCATTCTCTATTCCGTTTGTTAAAAATATGTGGGTATATTTTTTCGTGGTACAGCCACGCTGCAGCTATATTGTAGTTGTAACACAAATGGGTCGGCTCGACCGGGGCAGGACCATACTCTCACAAAATACCAGCGTAAAATAACAGCTGCTGTTGCGTACGATGAGGATCGGGTGAACTCTCTTGTCGTTTGTCACCATAATTGTTCAAAAATGTACTTATGCTTTAATATTAATGGGATCATAACATTACCGTTTTTATGTTAATCTGATATTTTTTCAGGATATTTGTTATTCCGGGGTATGCATACAGGCTGCGATTAATCAACGCCGTAGCAGTTGAATGCCCTTTAGCCGTTGACATAGAACAGCACGATATGGTCGTAATTGCAAGTGACAGTAAACCTGTAAGGCCAGTATCGACTAATAAGGTGCTGCTATATCCAGGTACTTAATATTGTACTAATAGTTAATAACTAAATTGTTTACTCCTTAATTAATAAAATTTTGAAGTGCAGTGTAGTACGCAAATGGCACTCGCCACACTTATGGCCACAGACTTGTCGTATCTGAGAAAGCTTAGAAAAAGGAAGATAAAGTCGCGCTGAACCGATGCTTTTAATAAGTCATCAGTTATAAAAATATTTTATAAATTTTTTAACACACCGGTTTCCTCGCGAAGTTTTCATTAACCATCGCGCACATTGTGTTTCGCCACTTAAACTGGAATTTACAATGGTAACGGATTCCTATGGGGATTCGTTTCGGTTAGGTTGCCTACTATGAAATTTAGACTAGACTATCCCGGAATAGCGGGCTTTAAAAATAATTGTTAACAACAAGTGATAAAATTAAAATTTTTGTACAACCGACTTCAATATAAATAAAATGAGAACATCATCAATGTAGTCGAAGTCAATTAAATACGCATTAATACGAAAAGCTCATAAAATACTGGTGAGATCTTGATCAAATTTATATGGGACTACATGAGAAGACCATCTTTCGAATACAAAAACGATCATCAAAATGGATTCACCTAGAAAAAATTTCTGAGGTAACACAAATAAAAACATGCAGTTGAATTGAGAACCTTCTCCTATTTTTGGTTTTCGGTTGAAACTAAACTACAGGTACTTATATGAACTAAATGATGTAAAGTAAATAATGTAAGATATTATAAGTATAAGGGTTCAAGTTTACCTTTTAGGTACTGGACCGCTTTATTCGAATTTCGATATTCGAATTCTTGATTATTCGAATTTCGTAAACTATATAAAAATCAATTGCAGTCAATTTTAGTCTCGAAAACAGCTCGACCGATTTTGATGATTTTTGTGTGTGTATTGGATGGTTTAAAACTCCATTGGACCCGCTAGGTGGTGCTATTGCCGAGATTCAGAAATCACACGTGCGAATCCGGGGCGGAACGCTAGTGCTAACTAAATGTTGTACATAGTTGAAAATTGTCGCACGTAAGGTTGAAATATGAAAGTGTGTATGAATTCTAATGTAACTGTGCGTTACAATAATAATGATAAGATTGACACTGCTTCCCTATATTATTGATCTAGAGTTAGTAGTATTTAGGATAGATAATTTGTGGAAGAAACATTCTAAGAAATTAATGTTAAAAGACATTTTTTCCAAAGTCTTTTTTTATAGAATAGGGGTGACAAACGAACACACGGTTCACCTGATGGTAAGTGGATGTTGTGGCCCATAGACATCTACATTTATCCTCGATTAAGAATTAAAAGGCAGATGCGGTGTCACCCCTGAGGACTAAGATGGAATGCCTAGCTTCAAGTAAAAAAGTGACTTCGGATCTCTACACTCACCATAGGAAACACAGCAGCGTCAAGCTGCTATTTTACGCTGGTATTCTGTGAGAGCGTGGTCCTTCCGCTGTAGAGCCGACCCTTTCATGACCCTACAACTATAATATAGCTGCAGCGTGGCTTTACCACGTAAGTAATTTGGATCTTAGAGTAATTTGGATGGTGAAATAAGTATAAGGAAGTTGCGAACACAGAGTATACAGTAGATTGCATTTGCGACACTTTTGCAAACGCTAATAGTAATGTCGCAAGTAAATCTGATATTTGTGTCAGTGATGATCACTGTGGTTATATAACAAATAAACGTAAAACAAAGATAGCAAAGTGATACTCGTATCGTAGGATAATGTGAAAAGGAAATTATACTATACTAGGTAATTAAGATTTTAATAAAAAGTAGAACCGACTTCAAAAACTAAAAAGAATTAAGAAATTTCCACATAATAGCTTCTAAAGTCGTTGCTTCGTACTTCAGAAGCTACTGTTTTTTTACACTTAGTAATTGAATCTCCAAGGGTGTGAAGTTGTAATCTGGGTATATTTATATAAGCGAAATACCACTGACTGACTGACTCATCACGGGATCTCTAAAACTGCATACCCGATTGACTTGCTTATTTCGCTATGTAGACGCTAACTAAGAACAATTTTTAGACGCTAATTAAGAAAAAAAAATTACGATAAAAATCTTGTAATTTTACATTTAGGTTCCACAATAAAATATTATCGCCCAGCGATGCGAGCGGGTATCAGCTAGTAGGGACTTCCCCCGAAGTACCTACTAAATAATAAAAAATCACAACCACCTTTAGACATACATATATAAAGAACTACGTAGTGTGGAGAACCTTCTCGTTTCTTGTACTTATTTTATTTAACAAATTTGAAAAGTAAACTTGCAAAAACTGTCAAAATTTAAAATCGCAAAAGTATATTTTTGAAAAATATATCAACGAAATATGAAAATACAAAGAAAACAATCTGATCTTTTTTGTACTTCTGTATTATTTTAATACAAACAAATTTGTCCATGTATACCTATATATATGTTGTATTCTCAATCTCATGTTTGAATCATGTGTTAAACATTATTAACGTTTCCACTGCATCTCGCGATCAAGACCACAATGAAAGAGAGAGGAGAAAGGTGCTGCCATGAGCGATGTCATTGCATTTGGTTCACTCAAGAGTTTAAGGTCGGAATAAAACCGGCTTCGCTCAGCATAATTTCGCTTTCTAAACAGTTATTGTATTCAATAAACAATATGTGCATATTTTAAAGGTAGTTGTTACATAGTCATTTATTTGCTTAAGGTTGTTTTTTTATCTATCAATTTAATAGTCATGTGCGTATTTTGTTTGGGTTTATTATACATCATACAATTCGTAGTTTGGGGGTAGATCATGCGAACTAATTTGAAAAAGGTAAGAGGTTGTTAAACCCTTTACACTGCGTGGGTTCAGCCTACAGTGCGTCAATAGTCGGAAAGCTCTAAGTCGAACTGGTAATGATAATTTTCATTCGGTGTGAAAAATTTGATTTTAACCTTTTTGAATAGATTTTTCGCAAGTTAATAATTGATGGTGCTGAGTAAGAATATTCACTACTCCAATTCATCCCGTGGGTGTTGTAAGCGACGGAGGGAAGCAAATCAGGAAATCGGTAGCAGCATCTTCCTACTAACAAATGGAATATAAAAAACTGCAGTCGCAAGCCCGCCTGACATGCGTGCCAACTATCTCAAATATCCCCTATATAAGACAAACTGAGTAGTTTAGAAAAGGTAACTGCCTCGAATTTTATTTGGATAAGAGGAACTGGTTTAAAGTAGACATGTTTGATTCTTAGTACCAACAAGAGATGAAAAACAAAAATTATAAACAAATATAAGTTTTAAATAGAGAATTTCGAAATCTTTTAGTCTATTATTTTTATTTACTCTTTTTAAAGCCAAATTATTGTTATAGAAGAGACAACTTATCCATGACACTCATATTAATCTTGGTTAAAGTTAGTCAAAGTTACATATACGTCCTCTCCTATATACGTCTCACAGCTGGGCACAGCCCTCCTCTCATTTCTGGGAGAGTTTTAGGGCAAGGAAGTGTCTGCCGCGTTGCTCCAATGCGTGTTGCCGGACTTCAAATGTCTTCGAAATATTTTTTTTCTCAGACATGCAGGTTTCCTCACGATGTTTTCTTTCACCGCCGAGCACGTGGTAACTTAGCACTTAAAACCTCACGATGTTTTCTTTCACCGCCGAGCACGTGGTAAATTAGCACTTAAAATTGCAATAAACAAGTTAATTGGTGCCGGAGGTGATCGAGCCCTGGTTGCTCGCGTACTGTGAAATTACAGCGAGCGCTAACCATCTGAGCTACCACGGCTCTTATATTATTTTAATAAATATTAAAAATATTATACTAGAATTAACAATGACTCCTCGTTTTGATTAATTTAAAAGTAATTAATAATTCTGATAAAGCTAAGTAAATCTTTAGAATTACACTTTTCCTTGAAGTTACTATGGTTGTTTATTATTTAATAACATAAATTTTCTTTGTTGTATGTCTCATATACCTATGATTGGTTTTCCTTTAACTATTCATTGTTTTTCATCTTAAACTTTTTATAGGGGACATTATCACGTAGGGGATTTGATCAGTATAGATTCTACCATGTTCAATTGTCGACTTCGCTTTAATATATTTAAATTTATAATAAGTTAAAGCTTGACGATAAGTCCAACTGATTTTATGTAGTGTACCCTACATACAATCAGATTTTAAGTATTTAGCTAAAAGCCTATTCACTATTTTAGACACTCACTTTGCGATTTGATGGTAAAACTGGAAACTGATTTAAAAATAATGAAGCGAAACGCTATAACTGCTACAGTTTAATATAAATAAATGCGGGGCACTAATCTCTCTTGACAAAGTTTCTCCACTGACTTAAAAGCATTAGCCTATGCTTTGAGCAGTATTCGTTGTGGCTAAGCGTTTAGATGCGACGCCGCGTTGCTACGGGTTCGAATACTGCAGAATACTTCGATGCTCGAATACTTCGAATAATACAGATCAATTGTTTTAATGACTTATAAATTATTTTCTCGGGTAATGTTTGAACATGTGAAATTTATGTATGTAAGACGCCTCCACTAAAAAGGAAAATTTAAATACCTGGTGGTTTATTTAAATGTTATACATAAAAAATACAGGTTCAGAGGTTGCTCAGTGTGAAGTACCACCGTACTTTCTCAAGGTCCCCAAACTATATAATATAACTGCTTTTGCTTTGGACTTAGGTACTATCGACAAAATCTCGACAGAAGGCGGTCGGTGTATTACAATAAAGGGGAGTGCATTATCCATCTACTGTAATACACCGTACTACAAAAAGAGAAAGCTTTAGAAATCAGGTGTATTGGCACCTCTCAGAGATGAATAGACCACGTTTCTGATTTAACGACATTGTGTCTTACAAAACTGGTATTCTGGGTTTGACTGGTAGTACCATTTTCTTCTACTGGCTCGAGTACTCAGATTTTGCTCTTCTTAAATGTGCTAAGTCTACAAACCCAAATATACCAGATTCATTAATGTACAGGAATTAGCGGACAGAAAAGAACCCTAGTAATTTTTTATACTTTATGCACAAACAATATTTACATTCATCATAACCTTCAATTCAATTAAATTACATTCTACTTTATTTTATTAAAATTAACATACAACCATATTAAGTGCTCTAGTTCTAGGTCTGAAGTCTTAAATAACCACTCCTAGAAACTGGACTTTCAGGAAGTGTCTATCTCGTAGAGCCATGCTCTAGTTATGATATGGCTGCAGCACCAATAGATCGGCTCGACTGGGGAAGGGCCACGCTTTCACGGAATATCAGCGTTAAATAGCTAATTAATGTTGCTGTATATCGTACGGTGAGTGTAAAGAACTGGAGACCCGTCCACTGGTAATGAGGTATTCAGTCTTAGTCGTCAGTGGTGAACACCTCTACACTTTGATTCGTTATAGAGGATAAATGTAGGTATCTATGGATCACAGCATCCACTTACCGTCAGGTGGACTACGTGCTCGTTTATCACTCATATTCTCTAAAAAAAGTCTCGTATCCAGGCGATTACCCAGGGCATAAATTACGAGAAAGAAGCTTACTATAATCTTTATACTAGCGAAAGAACTTTTTGAGGCTATCGATGTATCAAGCACAATATACAATATAAAGAGAGCAATAATGAATATATGCTTATATTTGAAACAATACTCTAGATAAGTGAAAAAAGTAAAGTTAAAAGTAAAGTTACAGCCTATATACGTCCCACTGCTGAGCACAGGCCTCCCCTCATTTTTGAGGGAGTTTTAGGGCAAGGAAGTGACCGCCGCGACGCCCCAATTCGTGTTGGCGAATTTCACGTGTCTTCGAAATATTTTTTCTATTTCTCAGACATGCAGGTTTCCTCAAGATGCTTTCGTTAAATTTACATTTAACAATTTCATTGGTGTCGGTGGGGATCGAACCCCGTTCTAGCTCGCGTACTGCGAGCGTTAACCATCTGAGCTACCACAGCTGGTAAAAACTGATGGCTAAACTAGGTAAAACCTGTATCTAAACTCAACCTACCGTAAAATGGCTGCAAACAGATACGGATCAAAGGGATGCTTATAGATGGCGGTTAAAAATGTCATTAACGGCAGGCGTAAAATACACACACCGGCGACATAAAGCAGCGTCAAAGGTGCTCACGTTTGGTACTGAGATCATCAATCAGACTACCAAGTGTGATGATTAAGGCGATTCCTCATTACTGTGAGTGAAACCCATGTCCAGCTGCGAACTTTAACGGGCTGTGATGATGACGATGACTATATTGAGTAGGCGTAACGAAAATAATTGTGCATTAAATAATTACGTAATTACGATTCCAAAATAGATTTAATGTCTGTCATAAGTTCAAGCAGTACATAATCTTTTAAAATTATTCAGATAAAGACCATAAGCTCGCAGAAATATGTCGTTTATTCAGTATAAATTCAAGCGGTAGATAATCTTTGAAGAATTTAAGACTCGGAGAAATAGATTGAATAAATAAGCTTGTACTTAAAATGTACCACTTTTTCTAATTTCAGGGGAGCGTATGGATGTAGTTGTGAACGCAGCACGCGAAAGTGGTGGATACTGGGTAAACGTTCACGGACTAGGCATTTGTGAAGGCTTGATCGCCCATGGAATGTTCTTGTACTCCGGGTTCAATTACACATCTTTATTACAACAAGGCCCGGTAAGATAAATAATGACAATAAGTACTTTTACGTTTATAACAGCCACGCTGTAGCTATATTATGGTTGTCGCACGAATGGGTCGGCTCGACCGAGGAAGGACCACGCTCTTACAGAATACCAGCCTAAAATAGCAGCTAAATGCTCCTGTGTTTCATATGATATTGTAAAGAACCGGACATCCGTTTTACTGGAAACGAGACATTCCATTTTAGTCCTCCGGCGTGACAATCTGCATTTTGATTCTAATCGAGGGTAAATCCACATGAGGCCACAGCATACGCTTGGCATCAGGTGGACTGTGTGCTGGTTTGTCACCTTTATTCAATGTAAAAAAGTTTCATTCTTGATGGTTCTATTCCGTTATGTAACACTGCATCTACTGCTCTGTTAATATTAAAGGGCAGGACACTAGCACAGATAAGCTGAGAATCCTTAGAATTCAATCATCAGGCGACAATGCCTTCTGAGTTTGAAGTTAGTTGTAAATATTTTTATAGGATGCAGAACCAAAATTGTCATCTTCAGTTTTCATAGTTATGAAATACCAGTGAGTTCATATTTTAACTAATAGGACAACCTACGACTGGGATTCATTCGTGGGTGACGGTTGTTTCGGTGTTTACCTCGATGATAAAATGTTTGTATAATGATGTACCTACCTACTTAAATTAAAAATACACGTATATTTTAATCTACCTAAGTTACTTAGGTTCATTTCATAAAAATTGTGAAACGTTTACGTAGTATTTTATTCATTATACATTTTGTTTTTTTTTGGTGATTCAGCTTTTTTTTTTATAGAACAGGGAGCATACGAGCATGCGTCTCACCTGATGGTAAGTGACTACAGCCGCCCACGAACAACCGTGGTGACCAGGGGAACTGCAGGTGCGTTGCGGCCTTTTAGAAAGGAGTAAGCTCTTTTCTTGAAGGTCCCTAAGTCGTATTGGTCCGGTAAAATCGCCGGTGGTACACAATTTCACAGAGAAGTACGAGGAAGAAAACTCCTTGTAAAACGCACAGTGGTGGACCGTCAAACATCCGGATTATGAGGATGGTATTGTGAATTTTGACGTGATGTGACGATTAGAAAGAACTTGGTCGTCGACGATTCGAACAGATCTGCGCTGGATGCAGTCAAATGGGAGTAGCTGGCACTACGGTGCCCCGGCCCAGAGATGAGAACAGTATTCCATGTGCGGCCAAACTTACGCTTTCGAAAATTGCAAGCGATGTGTCGGCATGAAATACTGTCTCGTTCTGCTGTTTGATTTCGTTTTAGAAAAAAAAAACTATCAAATTTCTCATTTATTACCCATACTTTCACATTTAAATATTTGTTGTCATCTTTTTCTTTAATTAAGAACTTGACTTTTTTTACTTTGGTATTACCTATATTTATTATCTGTCTGTATACTTATCTTAAATATTACATGGCAGAGTCACATTGAAGCCACTGACTGATTCCATTAGGATAACCATTTATTAGAATTTTAGCGAAAATGAGCATCATGATGTTGCCGCATTTTGTATGATGGCCCAACTATTGGTTTAAAACATTGCATCTTGGAGCACCTCATTATCAGCCCACAAAAGACTCTCTCTCTTTCTCTCATTACAGAAGGGATTTGCTATAATAGTTAATTTAATAACTCTCAGGCTCCCTTTTGGCAGTCGGTTTGACGATCGCAGAACCAGACGTCTCATTTTGACGCATTTGACGCTGCTTCATATATACGGTCTGGCTACTTTACGCCACGTGCATTAACGCCAGGTTTTACCCCTATAGCGTAAAATACTCAGAGAGTGATGAGGATGAAAGAAATGGTTATATCGATAGCTATCAGAATCTATAAGGTTTCTTTGGCTTATTCCATTGTTACCACTTACGACACTCGCGAAACGGACTGGGACGATAGATTTATTTTAAGCATAAAATTAAAATTAGAACACTACAGACGAAAATATTTTTCTAATGTCTTACTGAGAACCTATCTTTTGATGTGTCACCATGGCAAACGTATTGTGTCGTCTTTACAAGAATTTAAGTTGAAATGAAGTTTAGACTAGGTAATTTGTTTTTACCGGAAATTTTACTACAAAACTCAATTTGCTTCTAAAATTTGAATTTAAAATAAACGTAATATATTAACGAAGTAATCATTAACTGATAAATATATATGTCAGTTGATGTGGTTGATCAGCATGGGTGTCTTCCTCAGAAAACATAATGTGGGGGCGCAATAGGGTCAGGAGCAACAAACAAAGTAATCTAGATCACGTAACTAATTTAACTGGTACAAAACACAACGTGTGAAGTCTCCAAGCACCGTGTGGTCCGCTCGACTGCTAGCAACGAAGTGCCGTGCCGGTTCACGGGTTCACGCGATCCTCCCAGCTAGACTCCGTCGAAGGGTTGGGTCACAACACTTCCGCCTTGTTGTCAAGTCAGCATTCGTACTTTTCCGACATATAAATATCAAACTCTCTAAGATAAATTCTTGCTTTGATGGCGGGTTCTTTATTGTGATGGAAATTATTTCTTTTTTTTATAGGATAATGGTGACAAACGAGCGCACAGCCCACCTGATGGTAACTAGTTGCTGTGGCCCATAGACATTCTATATCTTTCCTCGATAACAAATCAAAATGCAGATGCGTTGTTAACCGTGAAGATTAAGATGGAATGTATCGTTTCCAGTAAAAAGGGTCTCGGGTTCTCTACACTCACCATACAAAACCCAGCAACGTTAATCTGCTATTTTACGCTGGTATTCTGTGAGAGTGTGGTTCTCTCCCGGTCGAGCCGACCCATTTGTGCTACAACTATATGTAGTATGGCTCTACCACTTAAAATTTTTTTTAGGTCAATGGTCAGTTTATGTTTAAGTAGTTGATCTTATGAGTTGCTATACTGCTGCCTCAGACGTGTAGGGAAACAAAACACAACATACAGCACATACGCACCCCTCTCAGAAGTGAGAGATGGCCTTTGCCTAGCAGTGGAACGTATATAGGCTGTTACTTTACTTTAATTTTACAACACACATTGGAGCGCGGCAGATTAATTGTGTCTGTGGTAGGAAAAGGGGAGATCTACCGCCGGGCAAGGTGTTCTGCCCGGGGAGCGGCCAACACACCGTGTGATAGTTTGGAGATGCTCTATATACTGTTTATGATTCGGAATTTTGATAGCGTGATTTAGGCTTCGGTGTGTTTCGCTTGCGGCGCCACAGGTTCATAAAAAAAGTAAAGTAATGTTACAGCCTACAAGATCCCACACTTTGATTATAATACCTGATATAATCCAAGCTCTCATACAAGTACCAACACTCTTAGTCAGAAATAGAATTCTAAAGTTAAAGTTACAGCCTATATACGTCCCACTGCTGGGCACAGGCCTCCCTTCATGTCTGAGAGGGTTTTAGGGCAAGGAAGTGTCCACCGCGCTGCCCCAATGCGTGTTGGCGAACTTCACATGTCCCCGAAAAAAATTTTTTTCCCATTTCTCGGACATGCAGGTTTCCTCACGATGTTTTCCTGCACCGCCGTGCACGTGGTATATCAGCACTTAAAATTGCAATTAATAATTTCATTGGTACCGGAATCGAAACCGGGTTACTCGCGTTCTGTTATATTTACAGCGAGCGTTAACCATCTGAGCTACCACGACTCTAATTGGCATAATCCCCTCAGAAATGGATTGAGCCCAACTGTTGCAAGAATGTACTTTACTTTTTAATTCAACGGATTTTTACGCAATTTAACCATTCTTATCTTTTGTGGCCTGTGCTGTTCGAGTATGAGTAATTAAAAATATAAGACAGGAAGAAATGTATTTGCTGTAAATTAATTCCGAGTTACAAAATAAAAAGTAAAAAAATCTTAAGGAAAGTTCATTAAAACTTTTGAACTATCCTTATATTTAAGCCATACTATGAAGTTGATCAATATATTATTGAGAACAATAATGAGTCATATTTCCACTTGGTATTTATTACACTTGACATAGTATTGGTTTTAAAAATTTTAACAAGACGTTAATAATACCCCAAAATTTCTTGCTGCTTTTTCTTTGAGATCTTGTTTGGCGAACCGGTGTAGCTTTTGACCTCTTTAAGAGCTTTAAACGAGTCCTCATTGAATAAAATAAGGTTATACTTCGACTTTGAAAGTTCTAGGTAGCTTTTAAGACGTTCTTTATTAATAATATGTAATATCAAATGGATTCTTTATAATATGCGCGTGTGTGTGAAAAAAAATCAATAAACTTTTATCAAAATGTCAAAAGATTTAAGGTAATTGAAAATTTTGCTGAAATCTGCAGAGGCATAAATCAGACGATCTGTTTGTGACTGGTTTTCAATTCATTCCAAACACTTTTCCAATATATTAAAAAATACAGAATATTGCTTTATTATGTCTATACATTACCTTAAATCGAAGAATAATGGTATCATTTGGCTAATAAGATATTTTTGCGACACGACTACATCTTGAAACAAAGTGATGTTGGATGATATGAATATCGTGGATATCTTGTGATGTATTATGATTTGCGATTTTAATATATCTATTTATTATTATATATAACGTGTACATTTTATGTATTTGTGTATTGATAATATGTATATATATTAAACTAGTTTTTGTTTATATACTAACAACGTTACTATACGAGCATTCGTAGCTCAGAGGGTTAACGCTTGCTGTAAATATAACAGAACGCGAGTAACCCGGGTTCGATCCCAGCTGGCACCAATGAAATTGTTAATTGCAACTTTAAGTGCTGATTCACCACGTGTTCGGCAGTGAAAGAAAACATCGTGAGGAAACCTGCATGTCTGAGAAAATATTTCGAATATTTCGAAGACATGTGAAGTTTGCCGACACGCATTGGGGCAACGCGGCGGATACTTCCTTTCCTTAAAACCCCATCAGAAATGAGGGGAGGCCTTTGCACAGCAGTGGGACGTATATAGGCTGTAACTTTAACAACGTTATTTGTATAGATTTCGTGTATTATCTGTATATCACAGTAAGAATGTATGTAATTGCACCTGTCACAATATTTAAACACACCTTAGACTGATGTTGTCGGAGAATGCTGATAGGCATTACGGTTTTTCCCCTTACCCTTACTAGTTGCCTTATTTATAAAAGTGATAACAGTAAATTTTAATTAGTTTAAATAAATATATATTTTTTGTCAAAGTACAATGTATTATTTTGTATAATTTCAGACGCTGAGCAGTATCGAACTTTTAAATAGTGAAACGATCATACAAGGTCAACATTTGTTATCTCTTCAGGACCAAACATATAACAAAGATGTTAAAATAATATATTTAGGCATTGACAGACACGTCGTTCCGTTTAAAGATAACGACAACGATTATCGATATATCAGCGATGGCGTGCCTAAGAAAAACTTTTATCCCGCTGCAGTATGTAAGTAATACATTTTAATGTATGTGGCATTCGTTCCCATTATCATCTCTCCCAGTCTTCTCTGTTATGCTCAATTTTCATCATAAATTCGTTAAATCACTAATATATTTTTTTTTTATTTATATTACTCTAACGGGTATCAATGAGTAGTCGAGGCGTAACAATATCCACTACTCCATATACCGTCGGTGTCGTGAGAGGCGGTAGAGGGAAAATAAATCAGAAGATTGCCCATCTTGCTACGCATCATCTTCTTGATAACAACCCAAAAAATTCCCATATATAAGGCAATCTATAGAGGAGGCATCTTTCAGCAGTAGGCTATCTATCTATATAGATAGATCTATATAAAATTAGATAGATAAGACTTGCAGAAGGTCGATGGATGCAGGTGGTTCAGGACCGTGCTTTGTGGCATCCCTTGGGGGAGGCTTATATTCAGCAGTGGACTTGTGAAGGGCTGATGATATGATGATGAATGATGAAGTCATCTAAATATTTTGGGCGAACACTAAGATCCACATATTATCGCTAAAGAAAGTTCATCGCCGAGTTTCATATCGTAAATATTGTAAAATTTTGGCGGTCTTCTTTGATATATGATAAAGCTATCTGTTTGTTGTTTCAAGATCGTTAGTTATGTATTACGTAGCACGTCATTTATGTTGGAGCACATGCAGATCTGAACGAAGCAATTACGATGAATAATCTTCATTGTGTGTATACGAGCATCGCGATTACTGATGATGACTAAAGTAATATTTTTATTTTTTATGTTTTAGCATTGCAAGACTATGGAGTGGTACAAATTAATAATAAAAATTTCCTGTATCCGAATGGGTTGTATTTACTCAAGCCACAAAATGTGAATCCAGATGCGGCTTGTAATGTTGGCGAGGAAGCAAATCACAAACAGCTCCAGTGTTTACAGCTTTTGAAAATACGTGACCAACAAGTCGTGGAACTGGCTTTAGTTAACGAAGGTATTTTATAACAAAGTATTGATTTCTTAGAAACTTTTGTTATGGATTTTTTTATAGAATGTGTGTGACAAACGAGCACACAATCCAGCTTATGGTAAGTGGTTGCTGCGGCCTATGTACATCTACATATATCCTCAATTACGAATTAAAATGTAGATTCGTTGTTACTCGTGAGGACTATGATAGAACGCATCGTTTCCAGTAAAAGGGTTCCCCAGGTTCTCTACACTTATCACACGAAACACAGCAGCGTTAAGATGCTATTTTAGGAATGTATACTACTAATATAGCTACAGCATGGCTCTACCAGGTAAAACGGATTGAATCATATCACAATGGGTGCGTTTGGCAGAAAAAAGCGCTAGCAAGCGCTTGTAATCAAAATGGCGATCGTAAGCGGTAAGCGCTGTCAAATCGTAAGTAGCTATTTTCCTCTAGGACACGATGTTAGTTTTAACCGGGGAACCTAACCTAATTTAAATATAATATGTTTGTGAAGTATTCATATTAAAAACTTACCAATCATGAATTTTTAATAACACGTATATGTCTATTCATGTCATTATATTACCTAAAACTAATATTGCAAAAAAAACAACTTATAAACTCTATTTCTAAACAAACAAATTAAATAAGCAAAATGGCGGATTGTGTCAGCGCTACTGAAGTAGCAATCGTGTCCTGGCCGAAAACTATTTTAGCGCTAGTAAGCGCTTGCTAGCGCTTTTTTTTCTGCCGAACGCACCCATTAATAGCGTTTTATAGTCCACAGCTCGAGTCAGGCCTTTCGAAGAATGCACCAGCTAGGATCCATTACTAGGGAAGTTTTCACCCTGTTCACTAGGTTAGTTTTTAAATTAGTTAAAAGGAGACCAATTTATCTATTCTGACCTTTTTAATTTCTGTAAATGGTAAATTAAGATAATAAATAAGAAAAAGAGCAAATGTTAAAAGTCTATTTGCGAATTCAAGGATTTTAATAGGACATGACAAAGGGTCGTCGAAAAGGGCAGAACAACGTCTACCTGGCAAGCTAATTATCGTATATAGAGCGTTGTAAAAGTGATGTAAGAAATAAAAACTGACATTTACGTGGTCTTCTTTCGAAATGACAGACTAACAAAGTTAAAAGTTAAACATAAAACTAAACATAAAAGTTAAACATTGTAGATTAAAAATGAAATTAGTAGTCTACAATGACTTAGGTGAAGCTTTAAAGATGCAATGTGATAATGATTTCAATAAGGATTTTTGAACTTTTTTACGAATAAATTAAGCAAGTAATTATAATAAGGTACGCGAGGGTAATATGGTCACCTTGAGCTTTGCCGCCCTATAAAACCAAATCGAATAGACTGATAAAGAACCATCGTATTGTTACGAGCTTAGGGTTAGTGATAATAAAAACATTCTATTGAATTACCCAAAATTGACACTTTAATTACTGAACACCAATTAAAACTTAAATCACACTAATAATTAATCACACTTAACACTTTATTTCGCTCCGAAAACTTCGCTCGTATCGCTAATTCAATACTGCCTCGGTCACGGCCCTCAAAGGCTTTATATAGGCCTTTTCCACCAAAACTAGATGGCGCTAGGGGCATCAATTATGGCTTGCAACAGTATCATAGAGCTATCTATACAAACAACGCTGTAGTTTTTGAGTTACAAGGAATTGACCATATTAACCGGATGACCATATTACCCTCACATACTACAGTGAAAATAATAATATAGCATGCACCCACACAGTTGGCGTGTACCATGCATTAATATTCCACTATAAATTAAATAATTTTTTTTAAATTTTAGGTTTTGGTAGTAACGATTCATATACGTTTCATATACATGGATATTCTGCTCAAGTAGTAGCTACGGGACGAACTTCTAATGGGAAACCTATTTCTAAAAGAGATTTTTCCTTCCTTGATAAAAATGGTAAAATAGAAAGGTATGTTTTTAATTAAAAGTATTTTTTTAGATTTCATTAAACCAACAATATTCTTTACCTTTAAGTCATAAAACATCTTGTTTTACAGAAATATACAAAACCCGCCACTGAAAGACACAATCGTCGTTCCAAACAAAGGATATACAATTATAAGGTTAAAACCTGATGAAGGTGGAAGTTGGATGCTCGAGTGTAGGTCTTGCAGTTTCTTCTCGTTACCAGCAGCTATACTCATTGACGTCCCTCAAAAAATTCCAAAAGCAGTCATTGATGTTTTACCGAAATGCGGGAGCTACAGACCTGTTGATGTGCTTTTGAACTGAACATACAGAATAGACTGAGTAATTAGTTTTAATATTTTATTGTTTTGTTAAAGATGAAAATAAACGAACAAATAACGCAATATGACCATAACTTTTTAATATCATCGGCATTTTGCGGAACCTGTTTTACTAGCGAAACGGTCAGCCGTTGAATTAATTTCTTTGTTTTTGTTTAGATAAGAAACACGTGTTTTATTGTTGAAGGTAGTGATATTGTGATAAGTGGTAATAGTGATATAGGTGTGCAGTTGACGGAGAGGAGGCGGTGCTCTTCAAATTAAGTAAAACACGTCATTTTTATTTTTCATGCGGATCTAAGCTTGTTAATAGATTCAATAGATACAATAGATTCCCGCAAAATATCTTTTGACTCTATTAATCTTTTTTCACAAACGTCAACCTTGAACTCTGAACGTGTTGCACTCCTGTAAAAATATCTATTCAAAAATGTCGAGATCCCACAGACTGTTAAAAGATATTGAGCAGTGTTGCCAGTGCGGGAGCGTTAGTTATGTGCTTCCCAACTCGCTTGGCCGCTGATAGAATTATGGATTTTAGTCTTAGGCCCGGTTTATATTTTATGAAGTGACAAGTGCGAGTAGCAAGTGCAACTGACAAATGACAAGTGATTAGTACGTGTAAACAGATAGTAACAAGTGATAAATGTGAATGAAATTCGAACTAAGCACTTATCCTATGTCAGTAGCACTTGCCACTCGCACTTGTCACTTCTCAAAATGTAAACTGGGCCTTAGGCCTTAGTGCGTGTGAACAGGTAGTGTACAAGTGATAAGTGTGAATAAGGCCCGGTTTACATTTTGAGAAGTGACAAGTGCGAGTGGCAAGTGATAAGTGGCAAGTAAGAAGTGACAAGGGCGTATTTTATTCCCACTTCTCATTTGTCAGTTGCAGCTCGGTTTACATTTTTTTGAAGTGACAAGTGCGAGTGGTAAGTCCGGTTTATATTTTAAGAAGTGCCAAGTATGAGTGGCAAGTGAAACTGACAAATGACAAGTGCTTAGTGCGTGTGAACACCCAGTGACAAGTGATAAGTGGGAATAAATTACATGCCTATTAGCAGGAATATTTTTGGGAGTTTTCAAACAATAAAGTTCTTCAAAAGAGATGATGCGGGCTGAGAATAAATTAATTCATTAGAGCCTATTTGGCAGGCGACTGGTCGACGAGTTCTTTTATAATATCTTGAGTTGTTATGATGAAGATACTGCTGCTCATTTTCTATTTCATTACCCTCTTTACCTCTTAAGACACCCACGTTATGATATGGGGTAGTGGATTATCTTACGCCGCCACTACACGGAGATGATAATGAAGATGTGATATTTGATATAAACATTTTAAAGACTTTTTATATTATTTAACTTTGTTTGCCCTCTGCCTAACTGTCGCAAGTATACGTGCAAAAATGAACATATTGTCAATGACTTGGGTCTCAAAACCTAGAGGTCGAGATGAGAATCTATGGATAAGTTATTACATTATTAGTTTTGCTATGATATTCCTCATCACTAGCCCGAGATTATTATTATGGTTTGGTATCTTGAAATAGTATTTTATCGTTTTATGATTATTCAGTAGTCAGAGTCAGTCAGTATTCATCAGTTAATGGGATTTCGTATGTTATTTTAAAAGTGCATTGTTTACAGTTTGAAAGATTAATTTAAATTTTAGTAATTGGACGTTTATCCGAATATCAAATTAATACATTCATAACATAACATAAACACTCACGCCTGTCACCCAGAGGGGTAGGCAGAGACTACAGACTTCCATTTGGCACGATTCTGACACACTTCTCTTGCCTCCTTCACATCCATACACCTACGCATACATGCTCGTCGGTTAAGGATTTTTTTTATAGGATAGGGTGGAGCACACAGTCTTGAGGGTTTGACAGGTTTTGGGGGGGAGATGGAATGCCTCATTTCGAAGAGTCTCCGGTTCTTCCTTCCTACGGGAAGTCGTGGGGTGGTCCCGTACACTTCTCTTTTGCAGCTGGTTACCGTTTAGTCCTTTTCCTAAGTCCTAATTTGGCCCGTTTTCAATAAATCGCCAATTTGGTCGATAAATTTTCGCCTAGGACGTCCCTTTCCGACTCTGTTATTCACTTCTGCACCATAAATTTTCTTTGTCACTCTTTCCTCATTCATTCTTTCCACATGACCAAACCACCGAAGCATTCCTTTCTTAATCCTGGTCACACCATCATCTTGCAAACCACACTCTTCTCTTATTTCACAATTTCTTACCCTGTCATTCAGATTCAGCCCTAACATACTCTTTAACGACCGCATTTCTACTGCGTTTATTTTACTCTCGTGCTTCTTCTGCCACACCCAACTTTCACTACCATACGTTAAAGTAGGGACCAACACAGCATTGTGAATTGCCATACGTGCCTTTTTCGACACATTTTGACTCTTCACAATAGAGTGCAAGGCCCCATTTACTCTATTTCCCGCATTCAATAAATAAAAATAAACTTCTATTGAAATTTTTTTCTTTCAACCGCCATAAAATTACAACACATTATTGATATTAAGGCCGGTCACATACATAAGGATTTCCGTTTTGAGATTCCGTTTCGAAATTCCGATTCGGGATTCCGTACATACATCACACACATACGTTTTTTCCGTTCGGTTTTTTTATTTTTCTCTAACACCTTTTTATATTTTACTTAGTTGGGAACGGAAACGAAAGTTTCTAAGTGATTTAGAGAACTACTAGCGTGGCCCTTCTGTGCTCAGAGCACGTACCTACATAAACATATGGCAAGACGTATCAGACCACGAACATAAATAAAATAAGAAACGACTTTCGTTGTATTTAGTGCAATTTTCATTAAAAAGTATCCAAATTTCGCCTTGCGAATGATACAAAATCAAAACAAACGTTGCATTTTTGCTCTTTAACAGAGATTTATAAAAAAATATCAGTATTTGAGAAGAGGCAATAAATATTGATGTCTCGTTTCCAATATTTCCAAGATGAAATGCCTCGTTTGAAGTAAAAATGGGCGGAGACCCTTTTTTACTGGAAACGAGCCATTCCATTTTAGTCCTCAGTAGTGACAACGCATCTGAATTTTGATTTTTAATCAATGATAAATGTAGATTTCTATGGGCCACATCGTCCACTTACTGTGACTGTGAGCTCGATTGTCAGTCTTATTTTACAAAAAAAGATCAATTTGTTGATCCTTTTAGTCAGATTCAGGATTATCACAAGTAACAACTAGAATGTATAAATAGTTGCGTTAAAAACTTTTCCCCCATTTTTATCTAAATTTAAAGTTGCTTACTTAATAAAAATGAATTATTAAAGACGGTTCATGACGAAGACATAGCGTAAAACCTCCATATGGTGGTCCATTGGTTAATAAAACAACAACAAAAACAATTTTATAAACGGTAGGCAGAATTAAAAATTTTAATGTTGTATTGTAAAATGAGATATCAGACTTATGAACGATTATTATAAAACACTGCTTTTAAATGAACAGTATATTTTTCATAACAATATATTTCACTATATCTATTCAGGAATATGATCTAAGTACTTATACATGTACTCATTTATAAAATCCAGATACGTGGAAACATTTGTATAAACGGTTGGTGCTCCTTTTTTTACCACATGGTGAAACACCCCATGAAACAACTCCTATAATCACTGAGCTTACATTGTCATCATCACTATCCGCAACACTCCTATTATAATCATCTCTTTTATCACTGGTTAAGTTCCTTGTATTTGTTTTTCTGAAATGTAAAACTAAAGGTCCACCAGAGTCACCGCTGCAAGCTGCGACGCCACCAGTTATAGGTCCAGTACAAATATGAGCTTGATCATCTAGAGGATTATTTTCATCAATGTCTTTTGTTTCCTCTACTGCTTTATAGCAATCTGAAAATGTCAAAATACGTATATTACATAGATAAGTGTAAAAGTGAATATTAATCTTCATTTAAAATAAATAAATTTGGATTTTTACCGTCATAAGGTAGATATGTCACTTCGACCTCTTGTAGCTTTTCGGGCAAATCTAACATAAGAATGCTTGTACCCAGTACACCCCATCCCGATAAACTTAACACTTGGGGTTGAATTTTTAAATCGTGTGGAAGACTGATTGGCTTCACTTCATTAGTAAATTTAAATGGAGATAATGTGAAAAGCATGGCAATATCATGGGAACCGATTCCTCTAAAATTAATTATAATGTTACTTATTAATATTATTTCATAAAGAAATTGTTATATTCATGCAAAATACTATAGTTTACCCATTATATTTCGGGTGCGGGTATTGTCTAAATATAGTCCTTATTTGAGCTTTGGATCCAAAGTAAAAATTATTATGAATTCCTGCAATGGTATCTAATGGTAACCAGCTTGTGAGGAACGAATCCGATACGCAATGAGCAGCTGTTAATACCTAAAAAATAAACTAATATCTTAACACATTTCCATAATTATTAACATAACATTTTCATTAAAACAAGTAATAGTTAACCCATAAATCCTTAATATAGGAAAGGAGTATTTATGTAAATTGTTTGATGTACATAATTATATTATTATTTATAACACTTTATATAAAACATTGGGACTGCTTTGAATTCATCCTTCTGAGGACGTGATGGAGCAGTCCATTTACCAGTGCTCGTTCCTCTTTAAATTTAAATTAAATTAAAAATTAATGAAGCACTTCACATGCGCTTGATTTATTTTTAATTTCTAATGAAGTTTATTGACCATATACTTAAAATTGACTACGATAAGAGTACTCTTAACCGACGAACATATTATATGCGTAGACATACGGATGCGATTGAAGCGCGAGGGGTGTCAGGTTCAAGGTAACAAGCATGAGAGTTTATGTTATTTTATATTATTTTATTGTTTAAAAATATGTTTGTAATTTACCCAATTTTTACTTATTATTGAACCACCACAAATATGAAATCGAAACCACAGAAACCTTATCTGCAGAGATACAATGTAAGGGTGACTGTAAGGAACAGCCTCATGTCCACCGATAAGTTTTGTTTCTGGTTTTTCATTATGATCTGCAAATTATCGTACCAATTTTTAGAATAAAGTTCAATAAAATTTTGTATTACAAAAAAAAATAACTATCAAAGATAGATATATGGTTATTTACCCGCCAAAAGAAACGACGAACAGAAAATAATACATAACGCAGTAGAAAAGATCATAATGTTTATTAGAGTTCTGCAATAGATAAATTTGTATTATGTTTATATATTGTATCATTACCTCTATTCTTCATTATTCGATTCAAGTTATTGGAACCAGAGGTATTAAACCAATGGCTATTATATATTTTGCAATTATATTAAAAATATAAAATTTCTTAATTATTTACAGACCGTAAAGTCCGATATTTGACATAGGCCTAAAATCTATTGTACCTATTGTAGGGAGGTAGGAAGGATTTGCATTTATCGTCAAGTTTGGCAGGCGGATTGAAAATCACAGTTCCAAACGTCTCGCATCATTAAGGCTCAATTTACACTGCTGTGGAACGGAAAATGGAAGCGAATTTTATAACGAAATTGTACATAGTAAAATGAGTCTTATGTTAATTGTTTAACGCACAAACTAGATATGAGCCAAAAAAGAAGTCACGCGTCCTCCGGAGAATTCTCGAGGATTCCCGTAGCTACTGTCAGCGAAGTCAACGGAATTCGCGCGATCGTATAGCCTGTAGGCGAAGTCACGGGAATGCTCCAGCTTTCCCCCGAATTCGTGCGCCTTCCCGCGCGTCACGACGATATTGACGCTTCCGTTCCATTCCATTCCATCGCAAAGTAAATTGACCCTAACGCTGTTTTCCGTCGCTGGTTTTGGTATTTTACGCCTGGCGTGAGATGGTTATTACCCTTCCACCTATTCTATAGGAAGATAACATATTTCCGGCGTTTGCCATTTTTGTCTCATGCCGACACCAAACGTAACATTTCAAACTTGTTGTCTATCTCTGTTTAAACGGTCAATGAAACAATGTATTATTAACTTCCCAGTGGGAAGTTATTGTAATGGGTTAAAATTTGCAAATTGGAAATTTTAACATATCTCCACGTTTCAAGATCTTTAGAGTCGAATAGTATGGTTTTTAAGAAGTAGTCCGTGTGTTCAATTTTCGCTTCGTGTATCTCGAGAACAAAGAATGATATTGACTTGGGACCAGTTTCATTTAACGCATAATTATGTAACTTAGACCTCATAAAATTTTGAGCAAAATTGGTCAAGTCGTTTTTTGTGCCGAACGAAAAATTGTATAAAATATTAAAACATATGATTATTCTTTCTACTGGGAAGTTAGTCGTGTGGACCTTTCGGGTCGCACATAGCCGGCTTTTTTTTTGTAACCTTTAAATGTGAAAAAAATTATAGTTATTGTTTTAAATAACACCAAATGTTTACGAGGGATAGTAGGCATAAAAGCTATAGTTAATTTTAATTAGTAATAATAATTCCATGGTACAATACGCGGTTGTTGTATTAAACATACGGGTCATTACAATTTTAGTATGTCAAGAATTTAGTTCAACGAACTATCTAGTGCAAGTTATTATAAAATGCCAATTAGAGTGCAATTTACACTCATTTTCGATAGAATCAATTTATTAATCAAAAGTGAACATTAAAATACTATAAAATTTTTGTTACATTTAATTAAATAGGAAATTCAGATAGGAAATGGCAGTTACTTATTTTGGCTAATAAAAATAGATTCATGCAATATGGGTGGTAATTTTTTTTTTATAGAAGACGAACATGCGGCTCACCTGGTGGTAAGTAACTACCGCCGTACAAGAACAACAGCAACACCATGGGAATGGCAGGTGCGTTGTCGGTCTTTTAGAAAGGAGTAAGCTCTTTTCTTGAAGGTCCCAAAGTCGTACCGGTCCGGAAAAATTGCCGGTGGTAAACAGTTCCACCAGAAGTTAGAAGTTAACGTTTGTAAGAGGAAGAAACTCCTAGTAAACGCGTAGTGGTTATTATTTTTTTTTTGGTTGCCTTGTTAACCAAGACAGTAAAAGGACTAGTAGTGCCTTAAATAATTACTGACGATTTTCTTTCCCACCAATTGGTATGTGGTAGTTTAGCAACATTAAAATTTTTAACTAATCTTCTCATACATTGTACGTAACGTACGTAGCGTATTAATTTATTACATATAAGAATTTGAAGGAATCTTTGCTAAAGCATTAAACGAAGTTTATATATTTTCTTTGTTAATCTACACAAAAAAACGAACATTTAAAAAAATTTTTTTTTTCAGAAAAAAAAATCACATAATAATGTTTATTTATTAACTTTTTAGCGAAGCGAGCTCGGGACATAGGGTATCCCGACTCGGACTGGTTAGGTTGAAAGGAAGCGAATAGACCCCGCCATCTTCTCTGTGGTTATTTTTTTATAAACCACTCAGAAATAGGAGCCTCGTCGACCGGGCACGTTCAATTGTAAGAAATGAAGTCGATTGATAATCAACCGTACAATTATAATATCACTAGTGAAATTGTAGTATCACGGCTTTGACAATAACCTGCGACATATATAATTGTACTGCAATCATGGTGCCAATATACTGTTGCATGAATAAGTCAACTAGCGCCATCTAGTGTCAGGAACGAGAGCGAGGGGAGCATTGAGAAAATGACATCACAAATCACTCAACCGACAGCGACTAGTCGAAACTCGAACGCTCGGTACCTTGCGCGTGTTTACTTGAACATTCTGGATATTTCTTTGCTAATTTAAATATATAGGCGCTGCAAGATGCGACGGGAGTAGTGTTGATTTGGCGAAACAAGCGAAGCTTCGGAGCGGAATAAAGTGAATAAGTGTGTTTAATTATTAGTGTTTTTAACTTTAATTTGTGTAAAGTAAATTAAAGTGTTAATTTAGGTAATTTTATCGGCAATTTTTATTGTCACGAACCTCAAGCTCGTAACAATTGGTGTCAGAAGTGGGATAAAATCATGCCGATTTTACCTAAGGAGGAAACCGATGGTGTCCGTACCCGAAGTCAACGCCAGCAGGAGACGGACCAACGAAGATTTGGTGGTGCAACGCCGCAGACTTCGGAGGGCCAGCCACCGGCTGAAGGCCCGTCGGTAGCTCCTACATCTGCAGCACCTGACTTAGGTGCTCTGATGGTGATGCTGCAGGAGCAGGCTCGCCGACAGGAGGAACAGGCTCGCCGACAGGAGGAACAGGTCCGTCAGTTGAAAGAGCAGCTGCAGAGCGGACAGGAGGAACAGGCCCGCCGATTGGAAGAGCAGTTGCGGGGCGTACAAGAAGAGCAGGCCCGCCGACAGGAGGAACAGGCCCGTCGGTCGGAAGAGCAGATGCTCCTCATTAAGGACCTTCATGCTACCTTTGGGAAAGAGATAAAGGAGGTGAAGGATAAGGTTGCTCAACATGACAACCGCCTGTCGGAAGCTGAAACCCAAATCAAGGAAGCTAAAACCGAAATCGACCAAGTGAACAATCGGGTTGATTACGTGGTGGCTGACGTGAAGAAAACGCTGGACGACCTCAAACTGGGTGATGGAACTACAGCTCCCGTCGTAGCTACTACACCTTCGCTACGTGGGTTCAAAGTGCCACCGTTCGACGGGACTTCTTCCTGGTCAGCCTACAAAATCCAGTTCGAGGCTGTTATGAAGGCGAACGGCTGGAATAAAAATCAGGCCATGACTGCTCTCACACTAGGCCTGCATGACCAGGCCTTAACAGTTCTGGAAGCTCTCGGTGAGGAAGTGACTTATGAGCAACTCCTTGAGGCATTGGAGGCGAGATATGGCGACGCTCACCTGGAACACGTCTTTCGTGCGCAGCTTAAAGATCGTGTGCAGCGCATCAACGAAAACCTGCAGCAGTGGGCTCTAGAAGTGGAGAAGCTGGTGCGAAAAGCATACCGGTCTGTACCTGCGCTCATTGAAGGGAACCTGGTGCAGACATTCATCGACGGCATCCGCGACCTGGAAGTCAGAGCTGTTGTGAGTCTCGGGCACCACGAGACGCTTAAGGACGCCTTGGCCCATGCACTGGAAGTGGAAGCCGTGCGGCAGGATCATCGTTCCCATCGCGTCAGGGAGGTTGCAGCAGCTACAGTTCGCTACCGCAACAATGGATACAGCCCAAGGTGCTATGGCTTTGGGGAAAAGGGCCATCTTCGATCCAGATGCCCTAAGCGAACCCTAGAAAGGGAAGGTGAACGATCTCAGGAGGGTAGTGCGGCCAACAGCACCGCCCAGCAGCAGCAGGGAAACGAGTAAAAGCCAGAACTGCGGGGCGGGTGCTGGCTGATGTTAAAAGAGCCCCAAGGATCTCGATCTCACAAACCCATGATGGGAACCGTCTAATCATCAAGGGCGAGGTCAACGGAATGCCGTGTAAACTGACCATAGACACTGGAGCCTCTCGTACGGTTGTTAGTTCCCAACTTATAAGTCAGTTCCTTGGGGACTCCGCATACAACCGAGAACGCATTATTTTGGTAACAGCCACCGGTCAGCGTATACCCGTCCGTGGAGAGAAGGAGATGGAGTTGAAGCTAGGCAACGAGATCTACCTGCATAATGTCATCGTGGCTGATATAATGGACGACTGCATCCTAGGCCTAGACTTTATGAGGAATAATTGTTGTGAGATCGACGTTAAGCAAGGTGTTTTGTAATGTGGACAGGAGGAACTTTTTATGGAAGGTGCGTTACCAGGGAACGTGTACAGCATTAAGAAGATTGTTCTTCCGCCGAGATCGGAAACGATTGTTCCGGTTAGTCTTCCTCGAAACGCTGGGCAAGCCCACCGTTGTGTACTTGTGGAAAGGGTAAACAATGACCTTCCATGGAAAGTGGCTCGAACCTTGGTCAGGACCACTGACATCTCAGGAGTACGTGTGCTGAACCTTTGCGACCGGGACCAGATTATAGAAAAAGGCACACTGATTGGTACTTGTGAGGAAGTGGATTGGTTACGTCGGTGCCAATATATATCGAGTGGGACCCCCAGCAAGGATGCAGAAACGAGAGTGACCACACTTTTGGAAGACTGTCGGAGTGTTCTCTCCCCGAACGAATTGGTCAAGGCGAAGAAGTTGTTACTCAAGTACGCCGATGTATTCTCATCAAACGATGCTGACATAAGAAAGACTGGCTTAGTTCAACACAAAATAAACACAGGAGAAGAATTGCCTATCCGTCAGCGGCCAAGAAGATTGCCGGTAGCACGTGAAAAAGAAGTGGAAACCAT